ATACCAAATCATTTCTCTAGTGTGAGAAACTGAAAATGTAAATATGGACTAAAAGGTTTAATAGATAATGTGAAATAGGAAGAAAGGGGCAAAGGGGAAGGGGAAATGGGAGGAGTAGGGGAAAGGAAAGGAGGGAATGGAGTTAATATGCAAAAATGAAAATTAGTGGAAACAAAGTCTTCATAGATACAGAGGGAGAGAGGGGTTGAAGGGAGGGCAGGGGATTGGGGAAAAAATAAGAACCAAGATGGATATATAAAGGTGCACATTTCCAATGATGAATGCCATGATATTGTATACCTTAAATGTGCCGATAAAATTAATCAGATTTTAAAAAAAAAAAGACATGTATTGGTCAGCATTTCCTTTGCTGGGACTCAATACCTGATGACCACAACTTAAGGGAGGAGAGGTTTATTTTGACTTGTGGTTCCAGAGGTTTGCACCCATTGTTGCTAATTCAAAGGCAGTAACATGGTGGAGGGGCAGGGAAGAGCAGCTCTGAGGACTTCGTGGAGGCCAGGAAGCAGAGAGACAGGGAAAGAGCCAGGGACCAGATATGATGCCCAAGGTCATGCTTCTGTGACCCACACAGACACACCCAGAAGTATACATGACTGAGCCCCCAGGGGTCCCCCAAGCCACTCAAGATGACAAGGAAGATTAAGCATCACAATGTGGGACAAGAGGAGAATGGGGAGGAGGAACAGCTCTCTGACACCCTGGGCTGAACCATTTGATTTCCGCACTGGGCCCAAGTGTGACGTTCAGTTATTTTGAACACACTCCAGCTAAATGTGCTGGTGCCCGTGGACCACCCTGAGCTAGAGCTACCTTATTCTTTAGCCCACAAAAAGAGCAGAGAGGGGAAGGGTTAATAAGCTTGCCATCCAAAGAGCTAATAAGCATTATTGGCTACACTCTTGCGAAAGACAATTTCACTCAATCCCACTGACAACCTGTGGGATATCATTATCTCCCTCTTAAAATTAGGGTACCCAAGCTCAGAAAAGTTACGCTGTTGTGGTGTCATGGTGTCACAGGAGGATAGGGACAGCACCTTACTGACCCTGCAGCTTGCTCTCACTTCACAGCACCTGCCCACTTGTCCAACTCAGTCGCCCCCTAAGACGTCCACATCAAATGTGCCGTCAAGAGGAATCATGGCAGGCAGAGTGGTGCACACCCCTAAGCCTAGCTCTCCAGGAGACTGAGGCAGGAGGAGCACAAGTTTAAGCCCAGGGTGGGCAACTTGGCAAGGCTCTGACTCAAAATAGGGGGGATGTAGTTCAATGTGAAGGGACTGGGGTTCTTGGTAACAAAGCTTTTCTGGTCTTGTTGGCATCAGCTAGTTAGTGACTGAGGGACAAGTAAATTCCCGTGCACTGGGGTTGAACAATTGAGAGCTCCAGACACCTTTGTAGATTTCAACCTTGCAAAGCTGAGAGATTTTCAGTTTTTTTCTTGCAGACAACACACTGTCCCTTATCCACCACAACTGCCATTCATAGCCTGAGGTTAGTAGCTACAAAAGTAAGCAATGGACATCCAGGGGTAGAAGGTGGGAATAGAATCTGGGAAAAAGACATTTAGCAGTGAGGATTTAGAGTCCCGGGAACCATGCAGCAGCTCCTCCTCAAGGCTCTGAACCCCAGAGGGACAGGTGACCCACCAAGAGTATGCAAGGCAGGAAGTATCAGGCTTTGTCTCTGCTCACCCCTGGCTGTCTTTTCATGGATGCACAAGCCGCTTGTGCATATGTTTTAAAAATAATATTAAAAGCAAATCAAATGTAGAAGGCTTGACTACCATCTCTACTGATATAGCAGTGGGGAGAGTTTGTGTACAACAGAAAAGAAAACCTACATATTAGGTCGCTAGTGGTACAGGGCTCCCTGGGCCTCTTGTGAACATTCCTTCAAACTCTGTAACATTTACTGGTTTTTGTTTTGTTTTGTTTTGTTTCGTTTTTTTGTTGTGTTTTCTTGGGGGGGGTTTGTTTTGTTTTTTTTGTACTGGGGATGGAACTTGGGCCCTTGCACTTTCCAGGCAGGCAGTGGAACCCACTGAGCCAAGCCCCCAGATATGTATTGTTCTAAAGGCACCTTCTGAACATTACCACATTTAGAAAAGTACCGATATTGATTGCGTTCAAGAGAAAGAATTTAAGTTCATAGCATTGCTCAAAATTATATGTTACTAGGCTTCCAGGAACCCAGGAAATAAGAAAGCATGCTTTGTTTGAATCAATAAAGATGAAAGGTGATTCAGGAAGTGGAAGTTAGAACGGGAAAATTCCTCATTTTTCTTCATATTCTGAAATACATATGGTTTTATTTAACTCTAAAGTAAACAGAACATAAAATTTATCAGAAAATACAGAAATAAAATTGGCCATGTCAACCTTCCATACTCCAATTATTACGGAATTAGAATTAAAGAGGAGTAGCAGCACTTCAAGAAAACATTTTCCTATAAAGATTGGAAAGAAATGTGTAGCCACTTAAAAACACCAAATCAGACAAGAAATTACATAGGGAACACAATGCTTAAAAACCCACTTGCCAAAAAAATGTAAGATGGATTACATTTAATAAGATTTAGATACAATCACTTTATCTCTCTGGAAATACAATTTTATTATTATAATACAGTGTATTGAATTTTATCTGATTTACTGGCTTTTAAAACACTTGCCCATATTATAATTTATCTGCATATTTAGCATAGCAAGATGCTCTCTGATTTTAACAAACCTAGGTCACGTGTTAGATTAAGTTGTTCAAAGGGACTTTTTTCCAGAATTTCTGAGAACACATATGCACAGTAATATCGACAAGTATGTCCAATTTATTTTATTTTTAAAATCAGGCTATTTAAAGTGATTTACTACGAATTACACACACACACGCACACACACCTCTTTTTGAAGAAAAGCTGAACTCCCACTCACTCTGGGTGGGACTGGAGAAATCAGGGTGCGCGCTCTGCCGGTGGACGAGGAGTAATACGGTAACAGCAGGAGATTACGGTACTCGCCGGGCTCCTGCCTATGTTACGTCAGCGAGAGCTGCAAAGTTCCTCGCCTTTCTTTTCTGGTGTCGAGGAGCTGCATATTAAAAGGGTGATAGTGGAGTTATTGGTTGTTTGTTTGTTTGTTTGTTTTCTCTCTTTATTTTAAAATGTGCAGGTAAAGCGTGGTGAGTCCGGAGTTCAGGGGAGACCTCCGGGCGGGCGGTGAGTCAGCGGGTGCAGAGGGGCAGGACCGGACTGCGGGAGACGGGGTCCCCACTCCCCGCCCGGACCCGGCCGCAGGTGAGTGCGCGGGGCGCGGGGCGCAGACGCCCCAGGGCCGGCGCGAACCCCCCACACACACACACACACGCCGGTGTCCAGCCCGCCCGAGCCCGCGTCGCCCGCTTCCCCCCGGTTTTCCTAGCTCCCGCCCCACGCCCGGGTCCCCTCTCAGAGCTGGGAAGTTGCCTGCTAGTTAACAAGTGTCCGTAACCCGCGGCGGCTCGCCGAGGGAGGAGGGACTGCGTCCGCGAGTGGCGTGTTCGTCCCACCTGTGACGGTTTGGGGTTTTTTCGCCAGAGCCTCCCGGCCGCGGGGCGCAGCCCCGGAAGGCCAGAGGCCACGACCCCGTGCCCCGCACTCCTGTCCC